GATAGAATGTAGCTGTTCAGTTGGTAGGAACCTACAGCTATCATCCAGTCCAACTGCCTGACCTAAAGCCTCAAAGCACATTATTGGGGGCACTGTCCAAATAGAATAGAATAGAATAGATAGAATGTAGCTGTTCAGTTGGTAGGAACCTACAGCTATCATCCAGTCCAACTGCCTGACCTAAAGCCTCAAAGCACATTATTGGGGGCACTGTCCAAATGCTTCTGATGGACTTGGGGYATCAATCCCCTCTTTAGAAAACCTGTTTCAGTGTTTGAGCACCCTCTCAGCAAAGAAATGCTTCCTAAGGTCCAGTCTGGACCTCCCCTGGTGCAGCTTCGAATCATTTCCACAAATTCTGTCACTGGGTACCAGGGAAAATGTCTCAGCACCTCCCTCTCCACTTCTCAGGAAGCTGTGAAGATCAGAGAGGTTGCCTCTCAGTCTCATTTTCTCCAAACTAGACAAACCTAGCCAAAATAACCCACCCCAGGCTCCACACTTGCTGAACACCCAGCTCTCTCTTGGGTGGGTTATTTCAGCTTGGGGCAGTGCTCTGCACCAGAGCTGCAGAGCAGACTTGTTTTCACCCAGAGCTGTCATAGTGCCTGTGCTCTGGCAGCCCAGCTGTGCCATACAAGACTAGTCTGGGCTCCTCAAAACAGAAACACTTGTCTAGATTTAAGCTTTTATTGCGAGTGAGTACCACTAAAGAGAAGTCGTGTGTGGGCCCACTAGCATGGAGTGCCCTTTGGAGTCAGTAAAAGGCTTTGCCATTTACTTCACTGTCTGGAAGAATTAGTTGTGGGTTTGGGTGTTTTTTTTAACATCATCAGACATTCATTGCACTCTCCCATGAGAGCAGGTTGAATTRTCTGTTGTGAATAATTTATCCAGTGAATTTAGTCCTGTTCATGTATAAAAAGTACCATTTGCATTCAGAATTAGAAGTGTTCAATAAGAGCAATATGAGTGAACATATCATTCAACTTACAGGTCTCTTCTGCCTCCTGCAAGAGACAGAGGAAGAGACAGATGAGGCAGAAGCCAGGATTTGGCTGGAGGAGGAGGAGTGAATTACATTTTACAGAGTACAAATTGGAAACATGCCCAGTACCCAGAAGCCACAGAGGCAGGAGTCAGACCAGAACCTTGGCCCAGAGGTGTAAGTTCCTCACCCTGACTGTGCCTCCATCAATTGTATCATGTCATGAATTTCCTCATTGCTCATACTTCTGCTCTTTGCACAGGTGAAGGATACTTGATAAAAAAAAGAGAGAATACCAAATGCTCTTGAGAAAATACCAATACAAAGAGCCAGGCATACTTTCAAAATTCGAAAGAACAAACCCGGATCATGTATCTTGGGAAAAAAATGGGTTAAAATGCTAATAAGTAAGACTTGGCACATGACTGAAATTCTCTGGTTTTGTACTTTAATCCTTGTGCTTTGCTACATTTCATCAATRCTTTGTATTTCACCAGTTCTTCTTACAAGGATTGGGTCCAGTGGAAGGAGGCTCAGAGACACAAAAGGCAGAGGAGAGATGATTCAATGCTTCACAGCTGTATGGAACAGACAACTTATTGTGCTTTCTTTCTTTTTATGTCAATATTTGTGGCTGTGACAGAGAGGGTGGACTTTCAGCTTGTTTTTCAGCCAGCTTAAAATCCAACTGCTCATGGAAGAAAGGGACTTGAAGGCAACCTGAAATTACTGCTTGGAAAATGTTTTGACAAATTGGGGTCTTTTCCACACATTTAGTTTCAATRCTTTTTGCACTTTGAAAAATACTGTTTCAATAACATTGAGGTACCTCTGGAAATGAATAGTMATTCTAAAATGAAATGTTAAAGTACTGAATTTTGAAATTGACAAATTAAGTGTTCCCATTTTTTTTTTACTTTTTAATATTTTGTGTTAACCTGAAGATATCTATGGATTTATCATGAACTTATGACATGCTTTTTTCAGTCCCCTGAATTATGGTAGGGATTCCTTTATGACTTCCTTTCATCTCTGTAGGTCTGAAATGGAAGTCTGCTTCTGACAGTGAAAAATGTCATAACTYTGCCTGCCTGGCAAGGGGGAAGAACGACTGACAGACACTTTGCAAAGTGAAAACAAATGAGGAGTTCTAATTTAAAAGCACAGAGAGACTTGGAGCCAGCAGGGAGCTTCTGATGACATTCTGATGAGTGGCAGCTGAGCCACTGTTGATGGGAGAGATGTTTCTACTGCATTCCCCCTGACCTGGCTTAGCCTGAGGGGCATCTGATAAGGAGGAAGAGATCCCATGCTGAGCTCCGTGGCATGGCTACACCAGCAGGTTTTATTCTAGCTGAAGGGGATACCAAAAAGGGTCTGTTCTTCAAGGTGGATTTTTTTTTCATGTTTAGACTGAGTACGAATGAAGAAAACCACACAAGAAACACTACATTAAAAAAAAAAAAAAAACAAAAAAAACAAAACTTTGAAAAAGGGTATTTCAAAAAAATGCAGCATTTATAGGTATACATTTTTGTATAGATTAAGGACTTTGTCATGAAGACTATCCTCTCCCTGTTCCCTGGACATACCCTACAGCTATTTTGGGCTGCTTATTTAACGTTGCTGTCACAGACTGCTGGTCCCGCTCTCATCCTTGACTCCACCACTGACCTGTGCCGTGATCCTCAGGAAGCCAGGGCTTTGTTCATTTCCGACAAGGCCACCTTCTCCAGTGACCCACGAGTGCCCAGTCCTGTCCCAGGCTCGATCCCTCCGGAGCGGCAGAGCCATAGGGGCACCCCCGCAGCTGGAGCCRCCGGGTGCAACAGCAGGATTGGCGGCGATTGCAAACCGGCTGCAGAGCCTCTCCCTGCCCTCTCCCCGGTCATTACACCAGGCAGATGCTCTCAGCTGCCCCAAAGACTGCAGAATGAATACTCAATGTAGCACAGAATGAATACTCAATAACATCTAGGATTCATCATGTATGAATTAGTGATGGGAGTGACAAGTAACAAACTGTCTGCTATCTCCTTTTGACAGAAGCCCCAGATTTTTGGTATTTCAAGGCTGCCTCGTGTGCTGAACGGGAGTACTGGGCACAGGAGGACAGGACAGAGGTGTCTGAACATATCTGCAGGAGTTTCTCCCTTTGTGCTTCATTCCTGTGAAGCTTCAGTGACTGCAGAGAGTCAGGAGCAGCCCTCTCCACATCAGCAGGATATGCTCGGTTTTAAACCAGGGTTTACCTGTTTTTTGCTGAAGTTCTTTCTCTTTTTTTTTTTGTTAGCATTCTCTGTGGTTGTATTTCACCCACCACATATGCTATAGGATCATAGAATTGTTTAGGTCAGAAAGGACCTTTAAGATCATTGAGTACCACTGTTAATTGCACATATGCATATATAATTCATGGGGCTAAAATACACTATGTCAATTCAAAACTTGTAGGTCTTCTTAATGATAAGCAGTGAATCTAAATCACAGAATATGAATTGCAGGAACTTAGCTGGCACAATGCCTGCATCTAGGCCCCAGCTGGTAATGGGAGAAAGTCAGCAGGCTTTTAGATTCCTTTCAAAAGCGATAGATAATTACCTCTCCAGGATCTGGAATTTAGGGATGAGTGCTGGGAGGCCCAGAGCAATAACACATCCATGGGGAAAACAGGCCCACTACCTGAAAAGTTGCTTCAAACATGGAAGTTTCTTTTTACATGATTAGGTGTGCTACTGCACACTTAAACTCTTCAATGCATTACAGCACCAGAAAATGGAAGAGATGCTGTTTGCCAGATTACTAAATCAATGGGCTCATTAAGGAAGACATAAGTATTGTCAGATCTCTACTGATACCTTAAAATCTGCTTAGGGTACTCTACTGGTACTCAAAAAAGAGAACAGTTAATAGCAGAAAAAAATCAGAAAAGAAATGGGGAATTAAAGAATCCCACTTAATATCCATGTGAGCATTCTTGCTGTAACACATATCAGTGGCAATGGCTGATCATACAAGTAAAGGGGAAAAGTGTCTGGATTTCCAACATTTGCCACTTGTTTGCATTTGTTTCCCAACAGATCCATGTCCTCTAA